CATGTTATGGGACTACATTTCCCATAAGGTAGTTACATTTCCCATGAGGTAGTTTCTTAAAGGAGACAGCTCTTTAATTTAGGAATTAAATTAGCTATATACTGTTGGGACAGCACAATTGGCATTGACAAATTTGCCATCAGTCAATTGCAGAAGGTGGCTTTACTTGGAACAGTTTCCCTCCTGTGATGACATCTGTTAACACCATCAAACATGCTTTTGTTTTTTTGCTTTTAATTTTTTTTTATTTTCATATAAGCAATCCATTTTCCATTAAACCATGTGTCACCTGGGTACAAATATTTTGTGCCAACAATTAAAATTTACAATCATATTCATTCGCTAATCTATTCTCGGCTTAATTCTCAATGCCTTAAATGTCTGATACTATAACAATCCTCATCACGATTTACTTAACTCTATTAATTATGTTAACTATTAATACATTTTCTATATTTTACACAACTTCTTCTACTATTAATTCTTACGTCTATTCTCTAACCATTGGTAAAATGATTCCCGAATTGTATAATAATCAGTTGGTTCTTTCTCTTTGATAGACAGTGTCAATCTATTCATTTCTGCACATTCTAGTAAAAACAAAACACTATCAAATCCTGATCTGCCCATCCCAGGTAAGGACTCAATAGGTAGACAAAAATGCCAAACCCAGTCTGAACACCTGGTTGATTGTGTGATGATTAATAATGATAACAAAACAACAACAACAATATAGATGAAGAATAAGCTAGGATACCAGTCTTACTATCCATGCCAAATTCATATTAATGGTATAGAGAGACTCCAACAATTCCAGGCATTGGATTAAGAATGCCCCACCACAGCCAGATTTATCTCAAGGATGTGTCAAAACCAAGATGCAACAATAGATAACTTTAATGAAAACATCACTCTCATACTCTTAAGAGGCTTCCTAAAGCTGAAGAGGGGGTCAAGCTATTTCCCAAAGTCCCCGAAGGCCAGACGGAATAATAGATAGAAACTGAACAAGGAAAGATTCAACCTGGAAATAAGGAGAAATTTTCTGACAATGAGAGAACAATCAACCAATGGAACAGCCAGTGGTGTATTAACCATTAATCAAACTAAGCACACCAGGCCCAAAGTTGAGAAAGAAGAAAACAACAATGAAGATTTGTACAGTATGTACAAAAGAGGGGGGCACCAAGATTTCCCAGTGCTTAGAATAGAATAGAACAGAACAGAACAGAACAGAANTTCTGGACGAGTTGAAGTCTCCGAATACTCTTCAAGGGCTGCCCCATGTAGAGCGCATTGCAGTAGTAGGTTGACCCCCTCTTCTTTCTGGCAGCCCCATAGACATTGTGGGCAATGGGCCAACATTTGGGATGCTACAGCCATGACCTACATTTTTTTTCTCCAATGCTTTAATTATCAGAGGCATCTTAGCATTCCAAGCAATGAGATAACATGGGAAGTAGCCCAAGCAAGTGTACATCCCAATGTACAGGTACCGTCCAATCAGACTATTTTGGGCCAGGTTCTTTTTTCTATGCCACACATAAATATCTAGCAAAGCTTTGACTGTACTGTTAGAGCTGCCACCTTGAAAACATGGCCATCCCTGTGGATAGCCCTGGTATATATCCCTTTGGAAAGACTTGGCAAAAGAAAAATACCCAGATTCTAGAAATCCCAATGTTAATAAAAGCTTTCTGTGGTTAAAACTCTATTTGGGAATTTTGGAGTATTTTTAGAACCTCCTCCAAAGAGATACATGCCCCCCTAGAGGTCACATTTAACTTCTTTTCCCTTCCCTTTCCCCTGTTGAAATCAACTTCTTCTGGATGAATTTGGGACGCTCACATACTTATTATATAAAAGGGCGTACACGGATTGGATTACACTTTTCCTGAATTTCTATTTCAAGGTTGTGGCAATACCAAGACAAATCGAATGGGAAGAGTACGCTGAAGCTGACGAACAGGGACGCCAGGCCCAATCCAGCTGCTACAGTACTTAACACATTCATGGCCACCATGCTTTGTACCTAGGGGAGACAAAAATAAAGTAATAAGCAAAGACGCACACAAATGTGCACGCACACACACACACACACAGGGGCTGGCTATGATGCAACTGAGATTTCTCAGACAATGATGGGAACAGGAGAGTGTCAGTGTTGGATTTGCTTAAACCAGAAACGTTGAGCCTTCTTGCTCCTCTTGAGTAGCGCAGGTTGGATGGAGACTCTTTTGCATGGCAGATTAGCCACCATGAAAGAAGAGAGTCAACTTCAAGAGAGACAAGAGAGAAAGAAGAGAGTCAACTTCAAGACAGACAAGAGAGAAGAGGGTCAACTTCAAGACAGACAAGAGAGAAGAGGGTCAATTTCAAGACAGACAAGAGAGAAGAGGGACAACTTCAAGACAGACAAGAGAGAAGAGGGTCAACTTCAAGAGAGACAAGAGAGAAAGAAGAGAGTCAACTTCAAGACAGACAATAGAGAAGAGGGTCAACATCAAGACAGACAAGAAAGAAGAGGGTCAACTTCAAGAGAGACAAGAGAGAAAGAGAGTCAACTTCAAGAGAGACAAGAGAGAAAGAACTGAGACAACTTCAACAGAGGCAACTTCCACACGTGCCTCAACTAACCAGACTATTTCATAACCAGAGATGGAGACACAAAACCTCTTTGCCAAAATCAAGCAAAAAGAGATTCGCAAAAGGCCCTCAGCTTCCCAAAAAGGAATTTTGGGGGGGGGGAGAGACTCTTAAACAAGAAATCACAACCATCGTGATGCGGTCCAGGATTTTCAGAAATCCACCAAAGCTCCTGATTGGTAACCCAATGGATTGTAGCTCTCCATGGGCTTCAGAGGAGAGGCTTTCTCAGTCTTTCATTGCTGGGATCTCATAGGTGGAGGGTTTCTGATTAATCCAGGGGGTGTTCAAACTCGGGAACTTTAAGACTTGTGGACTTCAATTCCCAGAATTCTGCAGCCAGCTGGGGAATTCTGGGAGTTGAAGTCCACAAGTCTTAAAGTTCCCGAGTTTGGACACCCCTGGATTAAGCCATGACTGTTACTTTTGCTCCAATAGATTAGTTACCAGAGGCATCCTGGGATTCCGAGCAGCTACCACAGCTAAGGATCCGGAGATGATGTACTGGAAGAAAAAGAAAAGGAAGTGAACCCCTATATCTCTATCCCCAGAGAACTGGATTTAGAGTGTAGACCCATCATCTCTCCTCCACCTTAAACTTCTGCCTATTGTCACTGCCTGCTGTTCTCTGGTCATCTTTTGTGAATTTTGAATTTGAATTTAATAACATTTATATGCCGCCCAATCCCGTAGGACTCCTCTTTTGTGTTGAAACCCAACCACCATTCCCTATTCTAGTTGAAGATGCAGCTGCTTTAAGGTGTCACAGCCAGGAGGTACAGTCATTGATTTGTTGTGCAACCCAGCACTAACAGATTTAATAGTTTAATAGAATTGGGAGGGACCTTGTAGGTCATCTAGCCAACCCCCCCCAAAGCAGGAGACCCTACACCATTTTTGACAGATGGCAGTCCAGTCTCTTCTTGAAAGTCTCAAGTGATGAAGCTCCCACAACTTCTGAAGGCAAGCTATTCCATTGATTGATTGTCCTCACTGTCAGAAAATTTCTCCTTATTTCCAGGTTGAATCTCTTCTTGTTCAGTTTCCATCTATTCTTCCTTGCCTGGCCCTCAGGCACGCCCAGTGAGTGGCATCAGGCCATACCCACCCAGTAGGCCACACCCACTCAGTCACCACCACCACCACCCACAGCCCTCAATGAAACTGAGTTTGACACCCCAAGTGTAAAATTACCAAGATTCCACTCCAATAAGGCATCTTTATCTCACTATATATCACGAAATAATCTCTGGTTACATCGAACAGGATCCCAAAAATAATCCCTACAATTCCTATGAATATCTGTGTGATCTGCAAAGTGGGGAAAAAAACAGCGCCTTCACTCACAGGCCACAAACCAGAGCAACAGAGCAGGAGGGAACGAGATGCATGCCAAAACCTATGTAAATTTTATATCCTTTCCCCCCCTCCCTCCCCCAAAAAACTTTGAATATATAGTTATATAGTTTTTAGATGTTACATTAGCCGGTTAGAATAACAAATGGTCCAAGAATTTTCATATATACAGTATCTAAACAAAGAATCATTGTGCTCCTATTGCAACAGAATAGGGGACAATTGGGATCCTCCAAACAAGAGAAGCTATCATTTCACTCATCTCCATACTCACCCCCAGAGCCAAAGGTTCACCCTGATAAAACTTTTTCAGCGGGACTGGAAAATCACTCTGAGTGGTGTAAGGAGAAGAGCCCACACTCAGGACCACAGGCTGAGCATCCATGCTGGGGTTTACAAGTAGGGAAATCCTTTAGGCCATCTGTCAGCAAGGCTGGGGACTATAGAAAGGAAGGAAAACAGAGGGGATAATAAAATAGAGAGTCTTACAAAATATAAAACATATGATCCCCATTATTAATTTCCCAGTCTTCAGTAGTTAAAGTTTTGCATCAGGAGTCTTAGAAGGAATGCACTTCACAGTATCTTTTTATCCAGTGGTGGGATTCAAATAATTTAATAACCAGTACTCTGCCCTAATGATTTCTTCCAACAACCAGTTCACCAAACTGCTCAGAAAGTTAACAACCGGCTCTCCTGGAGTGGTGCGAACTGGCTAAATCCCACCACTGCTTTTATCCTTCATTTCTGGTGTTTGCCTTCCTCTAGAGTAGCAGACAGGGGCCTAGTGGTTACATTTTCCCAAGATGCAACTGCAGTTATTTTGGGAATGCTTGACTCTCAGATCTTTGGGAGAAGAGTAAAAAGAGAGCCGTCCATCTATGGCATGAAAAGGCATTTGGGTTTGAGCCAGTGGTGGGTTTCAAAAAATTTTGGAACCTCTTCTGTAGGTGTGCCTGCTTTCTGGGTCCACTGGTGGAACCTCTTCTAACCGGTTCGGTAGATTTGACGAACTGGTTCTTCTGAATAGGTGCGAACTGGTAGGAACCCACCTCTGGTTTGAGCCTCTCACAATATCAGACAGATGAACTTCTGTGAAAATATCTACAGAATCCTCACATCCTGGACATAAATTGTTTCAACTTCTACCCTCAAAACGATGCTATAGAGCTCTGCACACCAGAACAATTAGACACAAGGACAGTTTTTTCC